TGAGCTGCAAGACGTTCTGGTAGGCAAGAGATGGGAGGGTAGTGATGTTCCCGCTTCGATTATCGAGGCGGGCAAGTTATTCTCGACCCACGTCAAGATGACCCGGGCGATGCAGCAACTGTGGGAGGAGAGAGAGCGTTTCATGAAGTATGACCGCGGCTGGTGCCCGAATGAGACGTTTCCGTCGACCGAGTTTGAGACAGAAGAACTAGCAGATGAGATGCGCAACCTGGGATTCAATGTCAGAGAAAGATCGAGTTTTGATCAGCCCTGCGACAAAGAAACAGAAAATGAAGACATTCAACAACGCTTAGATGCTGTTGAATCATTCTACGTGAGTGCTCTGCGGGCTTAGAGAATTGGTCAGGAGCTAACTGCCGCTGCAGAGACAAGCGCTAGTGCATTTACAGTCCATCACGATCGTCTTTCTCAAGATAATCTTGACGAACGTCAGTGCTATGGTCAATGAGGCTAACGGACAGAATGGACAAGGGATGGGGTAAGTGGTTTCGTGACTTCCTGCCGTTTTGATAAATCAAGGCTGATAACCATGCCTTTCAAGTGACAACTATGGCCCGGCCAATGGATACCCATCCGCCTTACACCATGGCCCTGGAGAGCGGAGCATTGAAGCAGCAATTGACGAGCTGGACAATGTGCGGCTCCGAGAGATCACCTCCAAGGCGATATCAGGATCTTTCCTGCTCCTGCTCAAGTGGTTCAAGCGATCTCGTAGGTAGTTTTGACTTGGCGTCTACGAGCCAGGCTAACGAGGCCTAGATATACTCAAGTTTGAGTACATGACGCAGTTGCTTCTGGATTCCAACTATCTACCTCTGATTCTCAAGATGTTTGCTCACCAAGACGTTGATCAAGCGGTTGCGCAGAAGAATGATCGCGACGAGCTGGGGTATGTGATTTGTTCTCATCTCATTCTGAGGGTGGGGTTTTAACCGGCAGTCCGAGCAGCTTCTTCCGATTTTGTCATCTCAAGTCCGACCATCCGCCCGCCGACCTGGACGACGAATCCTTGCCCAGCGAGGACGAAGCGATCCCTCCGCCCATCACCCGCCAACGCCAGGACACGACCGGCCACTCCTCCGTCCGAGGGCCGTCGCCCGAATCCCTGCTTCCGGAGTTTAGCGAGGGGCCCCATCGTCCCGAGGTGGACGAGCTCGGGTACCCGATCGCGCCGCCGCCCAAGGAGCCGATCACCGAGTTCTCCTTCCGCAACTTCTTCTCCGCGATCAACTACCTGCACATCATGCAGAAGATCACGCGCGACAAGGCGCACCGGTGCCTCTTGCTGGTGCAGTACAAGTCCAGCACCATCCTCCGCAAGGGACTCAAGATCCCCGACCCGCACCTGCGCTTCTACACGCTCAAGCTCTTCAAGTCGCAGGTCCCGTTCTGCGGCCGCAAGTGGCGCCAGAGCAACATGCGCGTAATCACTGCCATCTACCTCTACTGTCGGCCGGAGCTACGGGATGACTGGCTCTCGGGTGCGGACATCGATGCGGAGGTCGAGGAGGCGTTGCCGCTCGAGCAGGCGCTGCGCGGACTCACCCACTGGTGGCACCTCCGACGGTACAAGGACGTGATGGGCGGCGAGGAGGGCGCGTCTCTTATGGAGGAAGAGCGGGACTTTTTCACCAGAGAGCTTGAGGCGATGGGATGGGGAATGGCTGGGGATGAGGGGTTCCCGGGCAGTAGCGAGGAAGCCGAGTTGGCCGCTGCTGCCGCGGCGGCGGCGGCAGCAGCAGCAGCAGCAGCGGGCGGTGGACCGATGGTGAACGGGACTGAATGGGATGGGGCTCCCCTGCAGATGGAAAGTGGGTGGTAATACGTACATTACAGAATAGATAGAGGTGAATTGTATCAGATGGGGTAGCATATCCTGCGTCACCCAGCAGCAGATCCGGTAGTGCATGGTACCGGGATGAAACCGCGACTAATCAACAATCATCAGTCCAATTCAATTCAGAGGATTGTGTTTGGATGAGGGAAGGATGGCCTAGCCTTATCGATAAGAAAAAAAGGTTTGGGAAAACCACCCCGCACGTGACCCGATCACTGCGGCAACTTTTTTTCACCTTCCTCGTCTCCTCTCCACCGCCGCATCGCAAAGTTCTGGTGGCCCCCCGGACCCAAACCATCACCGACAATCCGGCTTGTAATCTGTGATCAAGCTCGAAACTTGCGCCTCAAGCAAGTCATCGATTTCAAAAGGAAAGATGTCGTCCGACGAGATTGTCTGGCAGGTGATCAACCAGCAGTTTTGTTCCTACAAACTGAAGTGAGTTTTTTTTTTTTTTTTTTTTTTCCCCTCGGTGTCATTTTTCTTCCCGCATCGTCGAAAGAAAACACAAAGAGTCCCACCAATTCTACACTACGCATGCCTACCCATTTCTTCCCGGCACAATGCTCATGATGGAACTGCAGAACCACCAAGGGCCAAAACTTCTGCCGCAATGAATACAACGTCTCGGGGCTGTGCAACCGGCAATCGTGCCCGCTGGCCAACTCGCGGTACGCGACGGTGCGGTCGGACCCGGAGACCGGGGTGATGTACCTGTACATGAAGACGGTGGAGCGGGCGCACATGCCGTCCAAGTGGTGGGAGCGGGTCCGGCTGTCGAGCAACTACGCCAAGGCGCTGGAGCAGCTGGACGAGCGGCTGATCTACTGGCCCAAGTTCCTGGTGCACAAGTGCAAGCAGCGGCTGACGCGGCTGACGCAGGTGTCGCTGCGCATGCGGCGCCTCGCCAAGGAGGAGGAGCGCCTGGGCGAGACCGTCGTGCCCCGCCTGGCGCCCAAGGTGCGGCGCCGCGAGGCCACCCGCGAGCGCAAGGCCGAGTCCGCCGCCAAGATCGAGCGCGCCATCGAGCGCGAGCTGATCGAGCGCCTGCGCAGCGGGGCCTACGGGGACCGGCCGCTCAACGTCGAGGAGGGGATCTGGAAGAAGGTGCTGCGCGGGCTGGAGCGCACGGGCGAGGGCGAGCGCGACGAGGATCTCGATGATGGGGAGCAGATTGACGATGAGGAGGAGTTGGAGGAGGAAGGCGAGGAGGGCGTCGGGCAGGTCGAGTATGTTAGTGATGTTGAGGAGAGTGATCTGGAGGATCTGGAGGATTGGATCGGTGGGGAGTCCGCCGACGATAGTGAGGATTTCAGTGAGGACGAGGAGGATGATAGTGAGGATGAGGAGGACAGCGAGGAGGAGGATGACTCGCAGCACAGTGAGGATGAGGGCGCCGCCAAGAAGAAGCCCGCTCCCGGCTTCAAGCGGAAGCGTCCTGCTCCCCAGGCCAAGCCCCGCAAGAAGGGTCCTCGCATCGAGATCGAGTACGAGACTGAGGGGCCTGGAAAGGTCCTGGCTTAAACCCCATTGCTGGATATTAGGAGAGGATGGGGGTTTTATTACAAAAAGCTCGGTTGTGGTCATGTTTTCGTATGGCGTTGTTTCGGTTCGAGTTGCGTTGATGTATCTACTGACTTACCTTTTTTTTTTTTTTCTTTCGTTGTTTCTCATGCTGCGATCGGGCATATCATACCCAGCCATTGCATATAGCTTGTTAAATGATTGTTCTGATGATGGCGCTGGTGCTGGTGTTGGTCGTAGATCTCGGAAGATGTAGCGAAGCTTCTACGGAGTCGTTGCCTGCCGTTCCTTGCATGCGGTGAGAACGGCGGCTAAGTCACCAGTTGGCGGTGTGGCAGGCCGGCGGCTCACGTGCTGCGGCCAGCGGGCGGAGTGAAACACGGAGAGTGGATCGCCAACATGGTCAGAGTCAATCCCCAATCAATGCCAAACTCCCCTTACGAGGGTGCTTGCTCAACTCCTGTTCCTGCTAACTACACGTCGTGTCTGGCATCTTCGGCATACCGTGTCCCAAGCCTTCTTGCGATTTGCCTTTGACGGCTACTTTACAACCCTGGTTGCTCTCACCTTGCAGGGCGCCCTGCTGCCTACTGTACTCTCTTCCGCCTTCCTCCGCATTGTCCTTCACCCCTCGTCTCAACCGCTTGATACCCCACCATTGGCTGATCCTTCAACCCTTCTCTCTGGCTCCCCCCCTCCTCCACCTCGCAAAAACAATTGCACGGCCAGGGACGGGCAGCAAACTACACCAGAATGACTTCATACTTCTCGTCACTGACGTCCTCGTCGGCCATCTCGAACCTGGGCACCCGGCTCAACTCCCTGAAACGGGCCATCACGTCGGGCGACGAGCGCGACGACCCGGACAACGAGGACTGCTCGCACATCTCGAACGTGCTGCGCGCCTACTACACCGAAAAGGGGCGACCGTATCCCTCGTGGCTGCCCCCGGACCCGAAAGCCCCCGCGCCGGCACCGGCGCGGGTCATCGCGACCTCCCAGATCCCACCCGGCGCTGCTGGTGGCGCCTCATCGTCATCAGCATACGGACGTGGCGGCAGCGGCGGCGGCGGTGGCAGCGGTGGTGGTGGTGGTGGTGGACTGGGCGACCTGTGGGGAGATGCGGGCTCGGCCACGCCTCCCACCTCCCAGACATCCAGTTTGCGCCGGGGTCGCATGACCGCCGGGGGAAATAACAACAGCATCCACAACAGCATGGGGGCACCGCTGTCGGCGACGGCGAGTGCTCCGGGAGGCCCAATCTCCCACAACAGCCTGTCCCCGACCCCGTCGGCAATGCAGCAGCACCCTCACCACCCAGCCGGGGGCGGCCGTCCCCTGCCCAGTCAGCGCGCCGGATCCTACCAGACGATCTCGGGCCCCGTGACCGGCGGCGGCGCGACGCAACAACCGCTGGAGCGTGCAGCGTCGGCCCAGGAACGACTCCGGGCACGCCTGCATGGGGGCCGGTCGCCCAGCCCCGGCCAGAATCCGAGCAGTCGGCCGGGTTCACCCTACGTGGCCGGGGGAGCGGATCCTAGCGCACGAAAACCGGTAGGGATGCCGGGTCGACGATAATGGCAAGGAACCAATGATGCCTGACTGACCTTGGGAGCTAAACCCTGGTGGTGTGGGAGGGAGTGAAGGAATAGCCCGGAGTCAAAGAGAAAAAAAAAAGAAAAAAAAAAGAAAAACTAATACGAGAAGGGAAGAGAGGGGGGGGGCACCAGCACCCGACCTGCAGGGAAAAGATGCGGACTTGCTGGTTTTAGTCTTTCGTCTTTTCACACAGTCGGGTGGTGCCGATGGAGAAGGGCGGGGTGAGTACTCAGTAAGAAGGAGAATGAGGAAAAGTGAGAAATTAGTGAGTTGAGGTCCCCCAAGGGCCATATTGGGGATGCGATGCGGTTTACATAATTACTTTCTTTCTCCCAGCGGGTTGTTAAAGAGCAGATTCTCTTGCTGTGCTGTGCTGTCTTGTGTGCATTTGATTAGCGATGCGATGGTTTTGATCTGTTGTTGCGACTATGATGTCTGTCTCTAATAAGAGTTCATAGCCATAATAATGCAACCCCGCTGACTTCTTTTTTCCTTGCTTTCCCAACTACGTGATAACATTGTTTTATTTTGTGTTATTATTTTCTGCCAACCCACAGATCCACTCCAACCCCCAGAGAGCAGGGCAAACCTTCCCCCATGGCCGAATGATGCAGAATGTGTGGGGGTTGCAACTCCTGGGCGGGTTTTAGTTTTACGAGTAGTTTGGACGAGGGTTGAACCTCAGCCGTGGTTGAACGACCGGGAAGCTTTTTTTGGTTTCGATTCTCAGCCAGGGGAGCGAATGGGGAAGTCGGAATCCCTGAGAGAACGAAAGGGAAAGAAAAGACAGGTGAAGGCTTCAGCTGGACGGCGGGCATCGTGGATAAAGTATTAACGCTGAATGGGTTGGATTGTGCCCATGTTGGGCATTGTTGAATACGTGGGGGTGGAAAATGGCGCAACCATGCTTAGTACAGTACTGTACAGCTCCATTCTGTAACTACTAAACTACTCCAAACAAGATATTATGGGGAAGAGTCGGGAACTGGAGAGAAGAAGCGGGCAGTCAGACAGTCCGACAGTCACGCGGGGCCATTCACCAAGGTGGAATCAGTGGAATGGTGCCGGAGAGTCTCCGAAATTGTCCCGTTGCCGGCATTGGAGAAGACGAAAAAGAAGAGAAATTTCGGCTCGGCTTACCTAACGCTAAGGCCGCTTTGGCTGCCCACGGGGAACTTTTTCGCTGGATTTTCTCCGCAATCCGCATTTTGTCTCCACTCCAACTTACCCTTGTGGATTTCTCTCCATCCCGAACTTTTCTCGTGTTTACTGGGTTTACTGGGTTTACTGCCTCTACTGGGTGGAATTGGATTCATCTAGTCGACTTAGTTCATTTTAGGCTCTCTGGCTGACTCTCTCTCTGGCCATGGTGGCCCCACTCCCTGGTCATTCTCTATCCCGCCTGTCCTTTCTGGCTGGCAATCCCTGGTCGTTTCGGCTTCCAAGTCTGGCCAGACGGCCCGATGACGCGGTTGTGCCGGCCGACCCCCAGTCCTGCTTGGCTCTCGTGGAAATTTTCAACAATGACGATGATGGTCAGTCGGTCAGTCAATCAACCAGGGTGACACTGGATCTTCTGGGGTCTTTGGGCGTTGCTGGCCTGATGCGCCTTGCCTTTAAAAGCCTCGTGCATTCCCCTCTTCACCCCCCGGAATGGTTGCACTCGATCTGCACGCTTCCCCGCTTCTCATTCCTCTCTTCCCCCCCTCGTGGTGGTCATCCCTCCCTTTTCACCTCAGTCCTCGTTCTACTCTTGAGGCTGTGGTCAACTGTGGTCGCGCAGACATACAGTACATAGATCCGGGATAAACCGCCGATTGTTACACAGTACACAAAAATAATACCTGCAGCTGGCACAGCCGCCCCATTAGCCAATCATGGGTACCATGCACGATTTGGACACCGCCCACGATGACCACAAGGACGGCACCGCCGTCGAGATGGACGACATCCACAAGGACCCCAAGGCCATGGAGGAGCTCACTGAGGCTGCCATGGATGCAGAGTTGCAGGAGCTGGAGCAGCAATTGAGAGAGATGCCCAAGTCCCGCTTCGAGGTCGCCTTCTCCAGCCCGGCTATCTACACCTACATGCTGGTCGCCTTCGCCTCCATGGGTGGTCTGTTGTCCGGTCTGGACCAGTCCCTCATCAGTGGTGCTAATCTCTTTTTGGGCGATGCGCTGCACCTGAGTGACAACCAAAGCAGTCTGGTCGACTCCGGTATGCCCCTGGGGGCCGTGGCTGGTGCTATCCTTCTGTCCCCGTCCAATGAGTACCTGGGCCGTCGTATGTCTATCATTGTCTCTTGTATCCTCTACACGGTTGGTGCCGCCCTGGAGGCTGGTGCCGTGAACTTTGGTATGATCTTTGCTGGTCGTTTCATCCTCGGAGCCGGTGTCGGTCTGGAGGGTGGTACGGTCCCTGTCTACGTCGCCGAGAGTGGTATGTTCATGTTGCTTCCTGTCTGCTTCTACTGTAAGGCCAGCACGCTGACCTCTTCCAGTCCCCAGTCGTATTCGTGGCAACCTCGTTTCCTTGTACCAGCTGAACATCGCCCTGGGTGAGGTGTTGGGCTACGCCGTGGCTGCCATGTTCCTCGACGTCACCGGCAACTGGCGCTACATCCTCGGTTCCTCCTTGGTATTCTCCACCATCCTCCTGGTGGGCATGTTCTTCCTGCCCGAGAGTCCCCGTTACCTGATGCACAAGGGTCGGGCCGTGGAAGCCTACGGAGTGTGGAAACGCATCCGCGGCTTTGACACCTACGAAGCTAAGGACGAGTTCCTGGGTATGCGCCAGGCCGTCCTCGCCGAGGCCGAGGAGCAGCAGAACACCAAGAAATACGCCTGGTTGGACTTCTTCACCAAGCCCCGTGCTCGTCGTGCGCTTGTCTATGCCAATATCATGATTGTTCTCGGCCAGTTGACGGGTGTGAACGCCGTCATGTACTACATGAGCACCCTCATGACCAACATTGGATTCAACACGAAGAATAGTGTATTCATGTCCCTCGTTGGCGGTGGCTCGCTTCTCCTGGGCACCATTCCCGCTGTGATCTACATGGAACGGTTTGGCCGGCGTTATTGGGCCAACGTCATGCTCCCCGGTTTCTTCATCGGTCTAGTCCTCGTCGGTGTGGGCTACCAATTCAACTACACCACCCACCCGGCTGCCGCTGAAGGGGTCTATCTCACCGGCATTATCCTGTACATGGGCTTCTTCGGATCCTATGCCTGTCTCACCTGGGTCATCCCATCGGAGGTCTTCCCCACCTACCTCCGTCATTACGGAATGACCGTGGCGGACGCCAACCTCTTCCTGTGCTCTTTCATCGTGACCTACAACTTCACGCGCATGATGAAGGCGATGACGCGGACTGGTCTGACCCTCGGCTTCTACGGGGGTATCGCCTTCGTCGGCTGGATCTACCAGATCATCTTCATGCCCGAGACGAAGAACAAGTCCCTCGAGGAGATCGACGAGCTCTTCTCGCGGCCCACGTCGGAGATCGTCAAGGAGAACCTTGCTCAGACCAAGGAGGTTGTCGGCGATCTGCTGAGTTTCCGGTGGAAGAAGGCGTTCTCGCCTCCCCCGAAGCGGGAGTAGTGGTTTGTGCTGTGGGTTTAGTGGTGCAGCCTTGAGGCTGTGCTGTCAGTGCTTTGACTATGATGTTTACCAGCGTGCCTTTGCATGTGTTTAATGAATACCAGATAAGAAACAAAAGAGGACTACCTCCAGATGCTTATGAATTAGGATAACTGATGTTGGAATGCAGCTTGATCGATGAGGCTATAACTGCAGTAAAAGAGTAGCCAGTAGCTGTCCTATAACAATATGGAATTACAGTATGGTAGGCCAGCAGTAAGAGTTGTGTGGGTAGCAGTGCTATCCAGGGTTCGTCTATTGAGCCTTGACGTATGGATGATCTGTGGTGGTGTGACGTGGTCGATCAACGATAGATGAAGTGCATTAGACTGCGAAACGCCCACAAACCATGTCTACCCAGCCCCGGCATCACCCTGGGAACCTCAAAAGCCTCCACGCCTCGGAAAACACCAAAGCCCCCTTTCCTCTCTCAAGTCTCACCACCCCATCTCCCGAACCGTCATCATCAACCCATCCACCGGCCTCGCCGTGATCTGCCGCGTCTACCAGCCCCACACCCCGCAGCGCAGCGGCTGCCGTCAGCGTGAGTCCCCACCACCCTCCAGCCCAGCCCAGCGCAAGAAGAAGAAGAAGACAAAGAAAAGGGAAAACTCACCGTATACACCACCCCCTCCACCTCCGCCTGCCCATCCGGCCGCAAAACGGGCCGCCCCGTCGCCGCCTCGCGCACCACCGCCCCCAGCCCGACCTTGCTGAACGCATACCGCCGCCCCACCACCGCCAGCGCCACGCGCATCACCAGCCGCGCGAACTCCTGCCCGATGCAGGCGCGGGGCCCGCGCTCGTACGGCCGCCACGCGCTGGGGGGGATTGCGTTGGTGGTGGTGGTGGTGGTGGTGCTGTTGTTGTTGTTGTTTCCGTGGTCGTGGTCATGGTCCTGGTCGTGGTCGTGGTCGTGGTCCTGGTCGCAGTCCTGGTCACAGTCCTGGTCAACTCCCAACCACCGCTCAGGCCGGAAGACGTGGGCGTCGGGCCCGAAAACGGCGGGGTCGCGGTGGATGATGGCGGGGCAGTTGTAGAGGATCAGGTCGTCGAGGCCGAGGGTCTTTGACTCCGGGGGGGTTGGGTTCGTGGAGGAGGCGCCCGCGGGCAGGCGCACGGTGAGCCCCTCCCCCCTCCCCCCCCGCCCCCCCTCACCCGGCGCGTACCGCGCCGTCGAGGCCGGCGGGTGCAGGCGCAGGGTCTCCTTGAGGACGGCGTCGAGGTAGACCATGCGGCGGAGGAGGGAGGGGCCCGTTGTCGGCGCGGCGAGCGCGGCCTGCACGGCTGTGGGGTCGGCGCGGGTGTCCTCGCCGAAGAGCGTGTCGAGCTCGGCGTGCAGCGCGGCTTGGGCCCGCGGGGTGCGCGAGAGCTCGTACAGCGCCCAGGCGAGGGTCGCGCTGGGGGAGTCGTGCCCGCCCAGCAGGAAGGTGCGCAGCTGGTCGCTGGTTTGGGTGAGGAGGGCGGGCGTCAGGGGCCCTTGGGTGGTGGGGTGGAGGGCTAGGGCTGTGATGCTGCGTGGCGCGGGTGGTTTGTCCTGCCGCGTCTGCTGCGTCTGAGCCTGCAGCTCGGCGTGCTTGCGCCGGACGAGGGATTGCAGGAGGCGCTGGACGCGGGCCCCGCGGCGGCGGCGCCGCAGGGCGTTGACCGGGTTGAAGATCCAGGGGAGGTGGATCTGGTCGTCCCAGTAGGCGTGGAGGAGGTGGTTGAAGGCGCGCACCAGCGGGCTCTGGCGGCGCGGGTCCAGGTGCTGGGCGTCCAGGTCCTCGTCGAGGAGGGCGGCGCCGATGATGTCGTACATCAGGTTCGTGGTGAGGGTGACGAGGGGGATGGGGTCCCCGGAGCCGGCGAGGGCGTCGAGCTGCGCGACGAACCCCCGCGTCTGCGCCACGACGGTGGGCACCAGGGCCTGCAGGTTCTGCGGGGAGAACCAGGGGCTGAAGGTCCTGCGCAGCGCCTTCCACTCCTCGCCCTCGGCGGCGAGAATGGAGGTGTGGCCGATGACGGGCTCGAGAAAGCCCAGCCCCAGCTTCGGCACGCTGAAGCGGAACTGCTGGCTGGGCCGCGAGATCTGCTCCGCCACCTCGTGGCTCGCGATCACCAGCACCGGCCGGCAGATCGGGCGGTAATCGAACAGCACCACCGGGGGTCGGCCGAGGGTTTCATGGATCTGCGCGAAGATGTGGTCTGCATCGTAACTGTTTTAGTGATCCGAGTCATGGAACGCACACACACACACACACTTCCAAACAAACGCTTCGGTGCAGAGAAGTGCAAAGGTGCAGATTTACCGTGATCACCGTCCTGGAACCCCCGCTGGGCGATCTCATGGTAGATCTTCAGGTGACCCCAGAGCAGAGACGAGGGCAGTTGGGGGAATTGACGGTATCGGTGGAACCGTTCGTACCAGATCCGGCGGCAGAGCCAGACCGAAGCTACCATCACTATGCTGAGAAGCAGCAGTGACAACATGGTGGATGCGTGGTGGACGCTTGGTGGCACTTGCAGGGAAAAGCGTTTCTGCAGGCACCAGCAGCTTCCTCTCTGCACCGCTACTACTTATGTAGACCACCAACCGAGGCCATGCTATGGCGTGAGGAGGGGGACGACTGGATATTCAGGCAAGGTGAGGGCTGTGCTCTCCGTCGGCGAGGCTGATGCAAGTGCAATCCCAGGATACCGCGATCCCATCAATCAAGAAGGGAGGATGACAGCTGCACCCGGGTGGGGGAGGTTCCTGTTGGTGGGCAAACAATGAGCGTGCGTTAGCGTGGAGAGAGACACGCACACAGCGAGAGAGAGGCATGAAGCAGGGTGGTAGACTGAGAGAGGGGCTCGGAGATCGGTCCCACTTGGAGTTGAATTGGTTGATAGGATGATTGCAACTGCGTCGGCCTTGCGCAACAACAGACAGCACATACAATACTCGTTTGACGAGGGATGAAATGCATGCACTCACACCCACTCGCTGCCCCGCTCACCCGTTTGCATGCAGGAAACCGGGTGTTTGTTAAGGTCTCACTGTCTCGTTCGCTTCCTCGCTTGCTTTCCATGGCTGGGACGGTGCTTGGCTAGTAGAGCCTACGCAAACTAAATCGTGGGGTCCTTGGCAAGACCAGACCTCGCTGCCTTGGTTGTTTTGAAGACGGCGCTTGACTTCTCCCTCCACTAGGCTGAGACTTCCGGGGGCTGCGAAGCGAAGCCGCTTTAGGGTCTCGGGATTTGCACGCTTGATGGTCCTTCTCAGTACCGTAAGTCTGTGTGAATTACATCTGACATGCAGGTTGCGTTGGTCATCGCACACGCGCTTGCCCGGTTCTGGTAATGATCAAGTGGCGCGGTCCCCGCTCCTTATGCCACTAATTCTGAGTAGACTGACTCGCCTAGAGGAGGAGCAAGCCCGGTGGTGAATAGATGTATTGGTCTGGAAGCAGTGATTAAGAGGTTAGGGGGGGGGGGCTGTTACACCTAACTCGGTCCTCAAGACCTGTAATGAGGTTTGCCCGAGCGAGCAAGGCTGTGCTAGAAGAGCATCCGAGTAGCCAGTTCTATTCTAAGGTTCGCTCCCCGAGCTAGCTATATCAACTTATACATTGATTGACATCATATCTAACCGGATCCGGTCTCGATACCAAAGTAGACCACAAATTCAGGCCAGCGGCTTCCGTCCGACCGCGGTGACAACGCGGCCCTGATGCACGACAACGCCCTGCTCCGTCTCCTTGACGGCGGCGGTGAACAGGGCGACCCAGGCCTCGCGGGAGACGGGCGCACTGGGCGCCTCGGCCTTGGGGGGAAACAGCGCGGCGAGTTCCTCCCACACGATCAGATAGTTCTCCGTCCAGCCCTTGTAGTCCTGGGGCCGCTTGCTGTGGGGCCGCAGCCGGGCCTCCTGGAAGCCGAACCGCGTGAGCTGCGTGTCCAGGGCGTCCACCCAGGCGTTGCTGATGCCCTTGGCGCGCAGCCCGCCCTGCAGGATCTGGGAGGCCTGGCTGCAGGCGGCCGTGGAGACCTCGGGGGTGGGGGCCTCGACCAGAAACAGATCCCCGCGGTTCTCCTCCCACTGGAGGTAGCCGCCGGGCTTGAGCAGGGCCGCGGCTACCGCGAGGATTGGGGTGAGGTCGGAGTCCGGGCCGATCAGACTCGCGAAGGCGCGGATGTGCACCACATCATAGGCACCCCGCAGCGCGGCCGGAAGAGGCTGGGCCAGGATGTCGAGCGGCTGCAGCGACACGCCGGCGGGCAGGTAGGCCGCGGCGGGGAAGTTGACGGGGTTGATGTCGAAGCCATCCAGCTGGACAGAGAGATCGGGGTTCTTCTGGGTCAATTGCGTGTGGAGCTCGGTGAGCCAGACGCCATTGCCACAGGCCAGATCGGCGATCTTCAGCGGCTGCTGCGCGGTCGTCACGGCTTTGGTGATCGCTGGCTCCAGGAGGTAGTCGAGGGTGTTTTGGTACAGGAAGTGCTGGAGGTGCAGGCGCGCCGAGGAACGGAAATTGTGGGCGTGAGCAATCCAGTAGGTGGATTGGTCGTAATTTTCAATGTGGGAAGAGGCGGTCATTGTTTTTTTGATTGATGGAGGTTTGCAACGGAAGGAAATTGGGCAAGATGAAGTTGGAGGAAGAAAAGGGGGTGGGTTTGGTTCGCTGGATGGGTGGGCTTTTTAAAGTGCTCTGTACTCATCTGCGGATGGCCTGGATAGGATGACGAGGCAAGACAAAAGTTTATACTAAGTAAGATCAGGTAAAGTTGGTTAAGAGAGGGACAAAGAAACTGGAGGAGGGGTAGTGGGACCCTAAGATGAGGTACTTACTGCTGCTGGCTAATCAGAACACCCCAGTGTCACAGCACCAGATGGTGCAGGTTATAACCATGTCCCATAGGCATGCATACCAAGCCTTACTTGGCCAAGTGCTTACGTTTCACTTTTGTTCGACCGACCCCAGTCCGGGCGGGCGGATGGTGAATCCTCTCCACCAGCCTCCCTTGGATCAGGGGTTCTGGGATTGGGCATACATCTAGCAAACATATGAAATCCAATCAGCCAATCACCCAAGTCATCCATTTCAGCCCCCCCCCAGAGTCTTACGCGATCTGCACCCGGACCATTCTCGTCCCCCCGGTAGCAGATCACGTGCGATCATAGCCCTGCTCGATGTTGACAGGAGCCGAGCTTTGCGAGCAATCCATGGACCTGAAGAAGTGTCTGAACATTGATCGGGGTGTTAGATCGCTCTAGGAACTCATAGACCCATCATATTGAATTCACAACCCAACTGGTCAACACATCTGATTGCGGTCAAGAAACTGTAGGCGGTCCAATAACAAAACCGGGGCGATATACATATTTGAGCTATAGTATAGAATGGCAATCTTGAGTAGTCTCTAGGTGGAATGGATTGGGGGGATTGCGTTCAATAGTGATGCGAACAAGTCCCACAGGATAGCAGGACGATGTCTCAGCCCCCCCCCCTAAGCACCCCCCGGAACCCCCCCCTTGACGCCGCCCCTCAGCGATGGGTCCCTCCCGCTGGCGGAATCGCCCCGGAGATGCGCATGGTAGTCGACATCCACCGACTGGAGCTCATAATAATGCGAAACCTGGATCCCCATTTTGCCTTCTTCGGGGTCGATCGACTTCGGTCTGCGGAACATCGACCTCAGCCCTGACAAGGTGCCGGTCGGAATGTCGAGGGAGACGCCCGGCTTATGCGCCTGGTCGCTCAGGGCCACCGTGGATTTGCTCGCCCGTGACAACGTCAGCCGTTGTTTGAGGTACACGAACCCCGACTCAGTTCGCTGCAGCCAGGTGCGCAACACGACGAAGAACACCGGGACACAGGCGCAGAGGATGCCGATGTTGAGCTCGACCACACTGTCAGGGGGGAAAACACAAGAACGGCGGGTCAGGACTGAGAACCACTCTAAGGCCTTAGGGCGGGGGGAAACCCTACCATAGTGCCTCAAATTTTACAGATAGCCACCGGTTGTCTTCCACCGTGAAGACCATGGCATGATAGCGGAGGACGGTCCCGGCAATGGAGCAGCCAAGCGATCTGGTGGACGGCGGATGGGTGAGTATCGGTAACCAAGTTCACGTTGCAAGCAACTACAACTTACATGAAACCGATCAGGAAAATACACGCCACACCCAGCTTCTTCTTGTTCTTCATATTCAGACGGAAGATGATGCCTGTGGGGATGGTCATGACGTAGAAGTCGGAGACCACACTGAAGATGCCCTGCGTGAAGTCGAGTTGACGCGAGGCGACGTTCATCCGCGAGGTGTTGGCCGTCGATCCCCAGCCCCCGTCCCCCCGATGGGGCACCATCCAGGCCAGCATACAGATGGTCAGCGTGATGTATCCCACCACAACAAAGGCGATGCCACTCCAGATGAGGGCCCGGGCGCGGCGAGAGGGCGAGAAGATGCGGAGGTAGAACGTGAGAATCGAAACCTTGGTGAACATGGCGCTGATGTTATACAGGCACCCCGCCGTCACCGAGTACTATCTCTATCAGGGCTGTAACAGAATCAGATGGAGTCCAATGAGTTGATCATACCTTGAAGAACCACGGCACGATCGAGGAGACGGGGATATCCCATGCATGACGTCCCCATACATCCTTGAGGACTGTTTTGGAATGAGTTACCCCGATCCTGCGAGGCAAAGCAAAAGGGACGACAACGTACAAACCGGGATGAGAGTCCCACAGAATGAAGCAGCGCCGACCTAGTAGATAAGAAAGATAGATTCATCAGGAAGACAGATCGAGTAGATTATTATCCTGTGCGGGCATGCATGCTCACAGCACCAAGCACCAGAAGATCTACGACGGCCCTCAAAGTCAGCCGGCTGACTCGATCGCAACAGAGTCGAGAATTTGCGGAATCACTTACAGTCGTCAGTCCCGAGTTGCTTTGTCTTCAGACGGACATAGGCCCGGAGCACAAAGGCAATGACCATGATTGGCAGAGTCAACCAAATCGACAGCCTCCCGGCCCAAGAGATGGACACCGGGTCCACGAAATTAGTCACCTGCCCCGGAGGGGGTTGCGACATGGGAATCTTCGACAGGTCCATGGCCGAATGATTGATTTGCGCTGGATAAAAAGAAAGCTCGCGGAAACGTGGTGTTCCAGCGAGAAACGGACTGTGGAAGACGTATTATAATCAATCCAAGCATGAGCTGGAGGAGCTGGCCCCCAATCTTCATGAACCTGTTCCTTGAGTCTTGACTGACGAGCCTTGTGCAGACACTCCGCCACCCTCCGCCACCACGCTCTGGCACAAAGTACCGTTTGCATGCCTCGTGCAGCCGGCAAGCGCGGGTGGCAGACCAGAACCCATTTTCCAAGAAGGGTGGGCGGCCATAATTGTGGCCCCAATGCATGCATGCAGTGGTGGCAGCCCTTCTTCAATCCACAGGCTTTGCCCTAACTCTGGAGAATTTCCGATCCACAGCTTCGAAGGAATTCGGGCCGCAACTTTACTTGACACTCGGACCTTGGGATATGTTGAGCGAGAGAATAACAGTAGTTTCATTCTCACCCCATTCTCTTTGCTGGATAGGGAACATCAGTGAGTCGGGATGTGAGCTGTGAAGCGGGGAACCTGGCGAGGAGCAGATACATGATTGAACGTTTTGTCCGCACCCTGTCACTCTGAGGGCGCTAGCAGGGAGCAAGTTGGGCGGGGGGGAGGGGGGGAGGGGGGGAAGGAAGAAAAAGAAAACAAGAAAAGTGAAAATCAAAACAAAATAGAAAATGTAGAAAATAAAAGCAAAAAGAAATATGAGAAAAAGAAAAGAAAAGAAGAAATGAAAGAGCTGAAATGAAGCAAGGGCCAGATCCATGCATAGTTAGTTAGTGCTTATGATACCTTCGTCCTTCCGTAGTGAATGACAAGCTCGCTCTCCCATAAGAGGTGGCTGCACTGAGTCCATGGCCAATATCCGCACCATGCCCGCCAACATTCCTAGCCATCGACTGCAATCACCATGCTCCCCATTCTCGTCATCTGCGTCTTGCTCCCGCTGGCCGCGTCCGTCTTTCTTCGGATGGTCCTCGACTCTACCCAAGACGGCCAAGAACCACCCCCCGTCGACTTGCCTATGCCCTTCATCGGTCCCATTATTCGCATGTGGTGGATGGGATTTGACTACTATAGAAAGCATCGGTGAGTGAGATCCATGATGATGGGATTGCAACAACTGACATAACTCACAGCCAATTCCCCATCTATACGATCCGTCTACCGGGCATACGGCTGTATGTGGTCAACTCCACCTCCCTCATCTCGGCCGTGCAGCACCATCCTCGAACGCTCTCCTTCTCCCCGATCCTGGCCCGGGTTGCAGCCACCTTGATTGGGGCCAGCGACGCTGGTTGTGCAGTCTTGGGCGATGATGCAGAGAACGGCTTCATCCGCCGGTTCCATGACTTCAACCACTCCAGTTTGTCAACCGGGCCTGGCTTGGAGGCCATCCGAACGAGATTCTGGAACCTCGTCACCTCGTCTCACTCCAGGCAATTCCTCGAGTCTCCCGGGTTTACCGGTATGTATCAATGGATCTCCCACGAGGTCATGCTGGCCACCTCGGAATCCATGTACGGCGCGCAGAACCCGTTCCGAGATTCTGCAACCCGCGCAGCCTGGCAGTTCGTTGAACCCCCATTGCCTCCCTGAGCCCCTTCGCAAAGTCCCCCCCCCCCCCGACCTCTTGCGAGCCGTTCCTAACCCCCCCCCTCCTCGTTCCTCCCGCAGGAAGTATCAATCCGGCGCGACGCGGCTGACCACCGGATGCATCCCGTCCATCATCGCGAAACAGGCGCTTCGTGCGCGGGGGGAGGTGGTCCGGTCCTTCGAGCAGTACTACGCGGACCGGGGATTCGAGCACCGCGAAGCCTCTCCCTACATCAACGCCCAATATCACATCTTCTCCACCAGCGGGCTGTCTGACGCGGACATCGCCAAGACGCAGGCGGCGTTCAGCATTGCCATTCTGGGCAACACCATCCCGGCCACGTTCTGGCTCATCTACCACATCTTCTCCAACCGAGCGATCTTGCGCGACTGCCGCCAGGAGCTGGAGGCCGCCCTCCGCCGCCACCAGACCGGACGCGCCGCCCTCGATCTGGCCACCCTGGAGCAAGCCTGTCCGATCCTCGCGTCCACCTTCAAGGAGACCCTGCGCATGCACTCGATGGGCACGTCCGTGACCCAGGTGGTCGAGGACCAAGTGATCGAGGGCCGGTACCTCTTCAAGAAGGGCGCCCTGGTCCTGATCCCGGCGATCATCCAGCACAGTGCGCCCGCGGTGTGGGGGGCCGACGACGTGCATGCGTTCGACCACCGCCGGTTCGTGCGCGAGAGCCACGGCCCCGATCGCAAACGAGGTCCCAACCCGGTCGGATTCCGGGTCTTCGGCGGCGGGTGGACGTTGTGTCCCGGGCGCCATGTCGCCACGTCGATGATCCTCGGCTTCGCCGCCAGTACCATTCTCCACTTCGATCTGCGGCCCCGCCGCAGGGGTCAATGGGTGATGCCGACGGTCAAGAACTCCCACCTCGGCGTCGCCATCGCGCAGCCCGATGAGGACTTTGATGTGGAGTTCCGCTGCCGGAAGACGGAGGGAACGGCGTCTGCGGAACGGACAGGTGGCATCATATAGCTACTTGTACTTATACACGATATATGACTTGAATATAGCTGAACAGATGGTTTGATTGAAGGAGTCTTAGGCCAAAGCCTTGATCTTCCGGATGATTAATACCACAGTAAAGAAACTTAGGGAAGCATTTGGCTTCTAGGGAGCGGCTGTTCTGTTCTTCTGCACTGAAAGCCCAACAGCCCATTGAATGGACAACACCGTTACACCAAATGGGCCAAACAGACCAGATAAGGCGAAGCCTGCTCTTAATGAAAGGCGGTCCCTCCTCTACCACCACGCTGTTACAAGGTGATCCTATTCCCAAGTTATTGCCTGGATCGAACCCCAGCAGCTCCATGGTCCGTTGCAGGGCCGCATTCTGCGCGACCAGTCCCACGCCCACGACCATACCGGCATCGATCGCGGAGCCCGCCAGACCGGCCTGTCGCCGGTGGCGCCGCATCAGTGCGTCCAGATCACAATTGGCGGCCGCGTAGTTGGCGAGGCCCTGCCCCCGAAGATGGACGACACCCAGGAGAAGCAGACGAGATAGTCGAGCTGGCACCCACTCGTACCGGTGGCCCGGTGGCACGGTGGAGGTTCGATGCGCCGTGGACCTTGGGCTTCAGATCATTCTGCCACTGCGCAAAGGTCATCCGATCGACCACTACCGAGATTGACCCGTCAACGCTATTGAGGACGGATTCGTGCGGGGATTCGGCAAACAAATGAAGGTAAAGCACAGGGTGCATTCATTTACAGAGATACTATCTTCTGAATTATTGCTACGGTTCCTCCGTTCCATTTTCGTCTGTTATAGACTGGGAAAGTCTCCCGACGTTGCGGGAAGGACCCGTCGATACTCCTCCGTCTTGATGCCCTATAAGTACCGGACTCTCCGGAGCCAAATCATACTTAGTACACTTACACTTTCGCAAACAGATTCCATCCAGCAAGGGCCCACCTCCCCACCACAAAAAAGGCCCGTCCCAATCAGCATAGCCACACCAGCAAAGACCTGCAATCCGACAAACGCACCTCCATCCCGCGCCTCCAGCGCGCCACCGATCGGACTGGCCACCAGGGCCGCAACCGCCACGATCAACCAGAGATTGCCGGACCGCACCCCGATCTCGCGACTCGTAACCATTGCTGCTCGTATCGGCCTGCTCGTCAACGCTTCTCGGTTCAGCTGGCTCGTGAGTCGATTTGAAAAAGCTCATTGTTGCGGATTGATTGAGCAAGAATCTGTCTAGCTCGCGGCAGATAGCCTTTCTAATGGTATTCGTATCGCACTCCATGTATCTCCCTTATGATGGGTTGATTTCTCAGCCATGGTCCGTTGCAACGCATTTGTCAGCTGGCAAATCCACCCCCCCTGTCTGTCGTATCTTTGACCCTAAGCCTGAGCCCGCTAGTATATAGAACATGTGGGGCTACACAAGCCTTGATATCTGTATCGCAATCTTGAGAGAACATGAATCCCACCAATGACAAGGAAGCAGCCAAGCAGCTGTCTTGTCTCGCACCGACCGATGGATGAGTCCCGGTCGATCGCGGTCCACTCTGAGCCAAGCTACAGATCTGCCGTTCAAAGTAGGCCCAAGACCAGTCAAGCAGGCTCGGCTAGAGGGTACTAACCTGGAACGAATTTAGCGGCGAAGACACTTCTGAATTTGCGCTGCGAGCCAGGGCTTACGTGGCACACTTAGGCAGGGATCTGCATCCTGGGCGGGTGATATCTCTGAATCACGCACAGTTGTAAGGTGAACTAGTCCATTAGGGTCCCTGAGCACTCTGATACTTTTTTCCCTTGCCCCGAGATACTGGAAATGTTGTGGATTCACTTTGGTTGTCTGGGGCTCCAGGCGGAGGGGCATCAGCTGCGTCAGTTGGCCGGCAATGGGCTCAACAAAGAGTCATTATGTTGTAGAATCCACCTCTACCTCCAGGAGGCGTTGGGCGCAATGCCACAACAGACGCTGACCAGCAGTTCCCTTCAGGCGACCGTAGAGGTTGACCTACCTCACCATTATGATTCACAGGTTCTCCCCACACGGACCATTGGACAGCTGGGCGCTAACTGGGAATGTTCTCTGCGACTTGCTGACCGAGGCTGGATCCCTCTCGACCACCATTTCTTGGTTCACGCGAGACGACCGCCCCCTCAAGGGCGACGCGGCCGGCTGCTTTACCACCGCGGCACAGATCTTCGTTTCTGGGTCTGGAGATCGCTCTCCGAGCAATGCAGTACATCTGTTCGCGCCGATGGACGGGGCTCCAAGACCGAGCAAGATCTGATTGCCGCGAACAGTGCCGGCTTAGCTCGAGCTCCTGCTCCAGATGCACCAGATCGCTGAGAGCGAAATCCTCACGCAGACGAAACGCATCGACTCGCTTTTGGGCAATCTGCACGGCATCACCATTGTTATAAGTACTGCTGCGCGCATCGGCACATACAACAATCTCAAGCCTCACAGCTAGACTCGGCATCTCACAGAAGAGTTCATCCTGCAGCTGGGCAGTTGAAATAATTAGGATCCGGCCAGTCTGGTCTCAGTGCCGTTCTTCCCCGGCGCCGTGTCAGTCTGGGGTGGCATATTTTGTGAGAAGAAAGGCAGACTGCCTCAATCGCCCAGTGTATAGCATAGCCTGATGTTCGCGAAGATATTACCACGTGAAGGCAGCCCCTGCGGCCTGGCCTGGGGGTGCTCGCTCACCGCCCATTTCGGTGGCCTTAGCTAGTCCCTCCGTGATAGCCGGACGTAGTCAGGATTCGAGCATCTCCCACCTCTCTCGCAGGTGTCATCAGCCGGTGGCATTGGGTCTGTTTGGCATCCGAGGTCGAGATCGTTGATCGGGCTGGGGGGCGGTACTACTGGTGTACAGGGCGATCTGACTGCTTAGGCGAGAGAACCCCGGTGGAGGGGATGGCGGGTCCATCTTATGGCAAGTAGGCTATTGTTGCCGAAGGTTCATGGGGGCTAGAGGTTTGGAGGTTCAAGGAAAAGCGGGCGAATCACCTTTCTGAAGTTGCCCGGAGACTCGCACTTCTTTAGGGTTGGAAAACTGATGACCGTGGGGGGCCTTAATTTTCTCCGCCCACCAGGGAAACCTACATCTCTGATATCTCGCATGACTGGCCGCATGATAGAAGCTGGGGGTAGAAGTTGACCCTAAGCTTTGGTTGGGATCGCGTGAGTGAAGAGGATCGGGACATTACGAGGTCAATTGGAAGGTGGCAGATGGAGTGAAGGTTGGCTAGAAGGTTGGCCCTGGGGCTTTGTAATCTACCGTAGACCATTATTTCTGGGGTGGCGCCTCCCATCCCGACCAGATGAATCGCCAGCCGCTTCCCGGCCAGTTGAACACGTTCGAACTCGTTTGTGCTGGATACAAGAACGCCATCACTGAGGACCCCGCCTTAGACGGGGCGAGTGTAGGGCAGGGCAGATCTTCGAGGAGCACCGGGCGTGGGTGGCCCAACACGAGTTCGAACCGAGCGATTGCCCGCGCTTCGGCTACCTGCTGATGATCGACGGACCATGCCTCCGCTCCATCTTGGGCACGACCGGGCCCCGAGAAGCTGATGTGTCGTTCCCTTCTTCCAGCCGCGCCTCCTGGGCCGGACCGTACGGATACATCAACATCCTGGATGTCGCCGAGCACGACCCGGAAGCTTCCGACTATGTTGAGGGCCCATTCTACGATGGACGTATGCGGATGGGGCTGGACGCCTTGGTGTTGTTTGCGGGGCAAACCGAGGATTACCCACTGTGCGAACAGTCCATCCCTCTCACTAGCACAGACCAGGTGATGTACACCGGTGGAACCCACGCGAGACTCGAGCCGAGAAGTCTGGTCACTCATCGACGAAGAGAGGACAGCTCATATCCTTGCTCAATACTCAACTCTTCACCGTCGACGCAGGCCTGACCGACGGGTTCCTCCCTTGAATAGAGGCCTTGTCGAAGCACCCTTAGCAGGCCCAGCAGGGCCGGTACTTAGGCCTTTCTCGGTACTTACTTATGTAGCCAAGGGCCTGCTCAAGCAACTGGGTATGGGAGTTGTGATTAACCCGCAGTGCGGTACCAATACACGCAAACTAAGCAATATATAGAAGGATGATGAACAGAAAGATGTTGAACCCTACATCCTTTTATCTTTAGTATATAGTATCTCATCCAGGGACTTACAAGATAGACCCCAAAGACCCCCAATATAAGAATAATAAAAGATATACCCTGAGGAAAAGCCCTGACTGGAATACCTTCATTTTTTAACTAGACTAAAAACTCTAAGAATCCTAACGTAGAAAGACCAAACCGTAGTTATGCCTTACTGAAAGGATCTGGGGAGATGGAGTATTTTTCTGCAGGTATACAGTATCTGTGACGGCGGCCTCCGAATCCAAGCATCTTCCACCCATCTGAGGCGTCATCAATCTGTACATAAAGGGCGTTTAGTACCCAATTGATATCCCCTTTAATGTACTCAAGGAAGTTGAGGTGGTGTGCATTGGTGCCGCGTTGCGTGTGAATAACAACTTCCCTGTTTCTATAGCTGTCTAAGGACGCACCTTCCAGCTTTAACAAGTAGGCTGCCACCGCAGCTGCTCAAAAGCGTTCACGCAACCTTTCATGGGCCTGTTTCTACAGCCATGGAAAGCACCGTTCAAAACACCTTTCTCATATCCATCGATGTTTGCCAAATGTGAATCTTACTCGCCATGTCGAGTTCTCACCACAACTCAAATCTCAGCAATGGAGCAACCACAGACTTCCTCATGAATTCCCACACTCAACCGCGTGCTGGAGCTGTTTCTGGTGAATACAGCGCAGACGCCCCACCAGAACCCTTCCGACGGCCCGTGACCGGCAGCGAGGCGAGGAGTCCCACCCCCCCGAGTCCCGCCAAAACCGCAAAGATCCCATGGAACCCATCCAGATACGCATCGACCACCAGCCGCGCGGTCCCCGGGTCCGACTTTCCCGCCGCCCCCGCCGCCAGGGATTGCAGATTCCCGAGATCATCCGCCAGGCGCTTGGCCGTCTCCGCCGAAAACCCCGAATCCCGCAACGACCGCGCCATCAGATTCTGCAACACCGTGGCGCCGACCACCACGCCCAGCGCGAACCCGACGGTCCGGAAGGTGGTGTAGAGACAGCTGGCGTAGGCGGCGTGCGACGCGGGCGCCGTCGCCTGCGCCAGGAACAGTTGGCTGTTCAGCAGGAACCCGTGGCCGACGCCCAGCGCGAGGAGGATCCCGACCCAGGTCCCCGTCGGGCTGTGCGCGGTCAACACGCACAGTGTTGCGGTGGCGGTGATGGTGACCACCCAGCCGCACCACATCAGTTCGCGGAGGCGGCCCGTCTTCGTGGCCACCCATGACGCGGTGAGGCTGGCGGGGATCAGCGTCGAGAGGATGGCGAGTAACCCTACCCCGGCCATGGTCGGGGTCTCATGCCTGATTCCCTCGAGGTAGGAGGAGATGTGGTAAAAACAGCAATACAGCTAGGCCCGTCATTAGTGAGTCTTTATGAGCCAGGGCACGAAATGGGCGAAGGGGGGGATAGCAACTTACTGAAGTCCCTTGGAGAATTGTCCCGAGATATAACGCGAGCGAAGAACCGTTGCGCAGCATCTCGGCGGGCAGAAACGGCGTAGCGGACCCCCATAGCTCCCATCCCACAGTGCAGACCAGCCCGGCCACCCCCAGACACAGTGGGAGTAACACGTTGACGCTGCTCCATTCATACAACGTCCCTCCCCACGTGATGCCCAGCATGAGCGACACGAGGCTGGAGGTAAACAGGACGCACCCGACCCAGTCAACAGGTCGACGGGAATTGCTATGCGGCGGCCACGGCGTCAGCAAGATGGCCAGATAGCCCACGGCGCAGAGGGGGAAGTTGACATAGAAGATCCACCGCCAGCCGCCGTGCCCATCCCCACCATCGTGGGCATACTGCGAGATCAGGCCCCCGACCACGGGGCCCATGGCCATGCCCAACGCGGAGAATATCTGGATCAGGGACATGTACAGTGGGCGCTGGCTGGCGGGGAACCGATCGGTGATCACCACCGTCGGCAGGGTGATGAACCCCGCCCCGCCGATGCCCTGGATCGCCCGGCCGGCGATGATCACGGGCATCGTGCGGGCGACGACGCCGACGATTGAGCCCACGGCGAAGAAGGACGTGGAGATGAGGAGGAATGGCCGGCGGCCGTAGCGGTGGGACAGCTCGCAGACGAACGGCTGCAGCGAGGCCGAGGGCAGGATGTAGGCCGTGCCGATCCAGAATGTGGTCGTCGTACTCCCGCCTAGGTCTTTGGCTATCGTCTGCAACGAGGTTATGAGAATGAAGATACTGGCCGAATTCCGGGGGGCCATAGAGTGGGTGACTTACGGCAATTGCCGGTGGGAAAACTGTCGAGTCGAAGGCGCTGAGAAAGCTCGCGGTCACGAGCGACAATGCGCAGTACAGACCGCTTGGCTTGTTCATGCTTGTTCTGGGAATCTTTACTGAGCGAAAAAAGCATGGAGAACCTAGTACTCTGAGGTTGACACTTAGAGCCTGACTGTAAAGTAGATAGATTGTCTTGTTTTGGCCACCGCGTCAAAACCTCTTTCTTAGTCATGGCATATTCATTACATTAGACTTCCATCATCTTAAATGACCGGCCGGGTGAGTTATGCCCATTACTAATGCAGTCAGTCTAATACTTTTGGTGTTCGAAACCTTACGAGTTGTGATGGAATGTTCCAAAAGCAAAAAAAAAAGGGGGGGAAGAGGTACCAATAGCTCGTGTACAGAGGACTAGCAAGTTGACATGGCGCCGGAGGCATGGGAGAAGTGCTGCACCCACACAACTTAATGCAGTATCATACACCAAGACAGGCCAATTCAGTGGCTCGTTTTGTGCTGAGTCATACATAGACTTTCTCCCGACGGAAATACTCATATGCAACGTCTCCTACAGTGAGGTGTTGTTTACACCGGGGGCATGGCTACCTCGCGTGCGGCAATCAGCCTGCATTCGGCGAGTAATGGGGGCGGCACTTACCGGTACACTTGATTTCCACTAGATGTGGGATGCGTCTTGATTGCGAGGGGATGCATGAGCTCCACAGGCCAGTAGTAGAGTGGATACAGCCAATTGTGAACTGATCTTCGACCCCGCCGCACCCATGACCGGTTCTGTCAAGCCTTCGCGTCGTTAAAGTTGTACCTGGCCATCTCGACGAGTTCTCCGACCTCAATCAGACCCGATTGTCGAGGAGCAGAGCCGGGAATTACAAGATTCCGCAACAGGCAGGACTGGCCCAGAGTTTCACGCGGGTCGAGGAGAGCCTACACTCTTCTTCCCCTCAACCCGTGGCTGACTCGATCCCTGGTCTTTCCACGCTCGACTGGCCGACCTATCACAGACCTGGGATTGCAGAGCGAAGAGCCTAGGTTGTGAGTGAGGGTGCGATCTACAGCGTTGCCGGATCCATCACACGGATTATCGGTGGAGCAATATGGGAGCACAGACTCTACTCTGGATGACCATAAGCCTACAGATTACTGACCTTAAGGATAATTTTCGAGGCGTTTATTCAAAGGTTTCGGCTCTCGAAGCTCTGGGTACGGAGTAGGTACGGAGTAGTGACTTCCCAAAACTTGCGCGGTTGCCTCTATCATATTATTTTTCCTTCAATGGAGGTGTTGATCCCAAAGCGTCAAGCCCTAAATCCGACTAGCGACAATCGCGATGATCGTTCGACAATCTGGCTCGTTACTGTCCCATAGTCGACATGTCAAATTGCATGTTTCCGCTCAAAACTGACCATGTCTACATATTTTACTCGTTGATACGACCACCGGTGGGGCTCAGAGGGTGGTATGATTCCCTCACCACGAAGGGGTCATTATCCTTCATTTGCGGATAAGGCATCCGACCCAACGAACTGGAACCGATGTCAATCAGGGATGGGATCCGGATAAGACATCCATGACGGTACGATATGGTACGATACGGTACGATACGGTACGATACGCCAGCTCAAGACGGGACCGGAAGACAGCCGCCGATCCAAATGCGGAGGGATTAGGGCAGTTCCAGTTTACAACACAGCAGATGTCACCTACCGCGTTGATGCTTGGGTAGACATGAATTAGGTCTATCTGGCTTGGGCGATTATGACAGGTAGCCGAAAAGGGAACTGCTTCAAGACTACCACAACTTACCGACCACCGAGCTGCAGTCAGACGCAAGGGATGGCCTGGGAAATGGCTGAGTTCGGTTTCCTACTGCTGGTAGTAGTCGAGCAGCTTGATTGAGGTAGATTGCATAATCATTGATCATGGTGATACGAGCTTACGACCATAAGTTACTACCTACTAAGAGAGTTCGAGCTATGTGTTCAGGGAGCTCTCTCTCGTGCAGAGTCGATGAAGACGAAAGCGATTCATTAGTGAGTTTCAAGGACCTTCCATTCGCACGAGTAGGGGTTCAAGCATTCTAAAACCATCTTGATAGGTGTGGAACCTTTAACTGAAATATCTGATGGAAGGGGTGTCTCTTACAGCGCAATGACCCCTCCTTCTCGGTAGAAAAGGGTAAGAGTGCATGTATATCCTTGGGGTACTTCTGGGTACCATCCTCCAATCTGGAGGTAAAATTTCAGATTTTGTCCAACAAAATACCCAACGCGCTAGTTTCCAGCCACCCCCGATCCTTGGCCAATCCTCTCATGAGGAAGTCCTCCCCGGCTTGCAAGATCTCCCGCACATCTCTGCCTGGCAGAACCATCGTGTACGGGGTGCAAAGGATCAGCACCCCCACGCAGACGACCGTATGCCATACTAGGTCTTTGTCCAGACGCCGGGTCTCGTGATATCCATCAATAAACCCGTGCATGACGTTTCTGGGCCCATTGATGCCGCCCAGGCGATCGACGACGTAGAGGTTGCTGATCATCTGAGCCACATCCAGCGTCTGGCAGCCGAAATGACAGGATTCCCAGTCGACGGGGACGATTGTGGATGAAAACAGGCCGGATGAGAGGAGGACACTGGTTTCATAGTTAACAAAGAAGCATTTTACTGGGGTTGAGGACACGTACTTCATAACATGGAAGTCACCGTGCGTGATTCCAGTATCCCCTCCGTCGGTCCTTTTGAGCTCCGCCTCGACGGCTGCCCGCACCCTCGGCTCGTCCGTTTTCAAAACATCCGGATAGGCCTCGATGTTCTGGCGTAGATTCCTCTCGTTATACTCCCATATCAAACGGCGAACGGTTTCATTCGAGGCCACGATTCTCGGCAGATCGGTTCGATCCAGGGTGCTGGAATGAAATGTGCCGAGCCAGGCGCCGAGGCTCAACCCGAGGGACGACCGGGACGGGCCCAGGAAGTAAGATCGCAATGAGAAGGTGGTGAACAGCTGAAAGAAGGTGATGGAGCCGGGGATGTCCTCAATCAACAGAGTGTTCTCCCGTGCTCTGAACTCGTGTATCGCTGCGGTTCGCACGGTGGTGTTTTGGAATGTGAAGGGTGGAACGGGATTGGGCGTTTGTGCAAAGGCAAGCAGGATTTCGCTTTCTCGGGACTAGCAGCATGGGTTAGATATAACGCTTTGGCACTGGCTTGGGGCTCAGCTCAGCTGCATACGCCTCGATTCTCTGGAAGCTGGAATTCTTCCATCCTTGCGGCATGGCCGGCATTATGCTTGATGATCACGGTCACGGCTCCGGTGTTCAGCGCACGACGGAGATGGCCACGGTACACGAATCCAAGATAGCTGCCCAGGCGTTCTAAAGACGAGCAGGCAAATCTTGTCGTGGACAAACTCTCTAGAAGCTTGTGGGTGATGCCTTTGTCGTTCTCGGTGGCCATTGGGCTGTATTCTTGGCTGTGCGAGCCTTGGCTATACAAGATTGAAGGAGAAGAGGGCCGGGCATATATTTTCAATCGATGATACAGTTCGGATTGTGCTGCCGTTACTCTTAACCGATGAACTCAAGCAATGATTAGCTGTTATGTGTCAGTAGCAGGCGTATTTAGCTCTACCAGAACTGGCAGACGGAAGGGATCTGACCTGCCACAGAGGCATAACCGTTCATGTCCTTTATCTTTAGTTACAATTACATTTGATTGACTGCGGGAGCAAATAGCAAACCAGACAGCCCGATTCAGCCTACTCCCAGTGCAAGGTTTCAGATCGGGTAATAGACGAATTGAATTACATTGTACCCACTGAATACTGTTGTGCGGTTTCTCAGGTGTTTTGTTCTATGATTTCCCTACATTTCATTTCCGATACCTCGTAATGGATAAAGTTTCTTAGAGCTTCGAGACGTGCATACCTGCCCCTTTGACTTCTGACAGTCTGCTTTGGCCTGGCATGTGGAGATGACGGGATCTTCTCTGGATAGCTCTGTTTTCAGGCTTTGAAAGGCTCGTTATTGAACTTTAATCCTCAAATAAGAACGCTGTGTCGACTACCTGTACGCCGTACTGTGGCATAGTCTACACATGTCACATTTACCCGCCCAATCTACTACTCTACTCTGACTGCCACCTAGGAACTACGGTAAACTCAAGCAAGGCTACACGAAACAGGGATCAAAAGGGTATGCAACTGGATTATCAGATAATGAGTGGTTCAATAGGATGTAATGTTGCATCAACTCCGATCGGGTCTTTGCTTCCCGGCGCCCATAGCGACGATGGCAGGAGCAAAAAGACAAGGACAGATCTGGCAACCTGCGGAAACCTCAGGCTGATCCGGAGCATGGAGACTGGGCCATCGGCCTCCCCCACCCGCCAAGCAAGGGGTTCAATTTTTACGAGATGTTTTAATTCTTGGTTGTGTTCCTCTCGGATTTCCCTGCATTCGGTTGCTCGATACGCTATGTGGCATTCAGAATGTCCAGTCCCTCCATGATGCTGTATATGCTTTTGACCAATCTACAATACGGGGATTTCTGCCCGATTCTGATAATCGATATTATCGACTGTCCCCTCTACTCTGGCCCGGCAGGTGCCAAACACCCGGTCCCAGATGCGCGTGTGCTTGCCGTAGTTGCTCGACCGCCGCCACCCGGATCGGTGGTGCAGGTCGTGATCCTCGACGACGAGGTCGGCCTCGAACCGCCGCATCAGCCACGTGAGGCCGCTGGGCGACGACATATGCAGCCGCACGCCGCTGTGCCCGAAGACCTCGGTGAAGGTCACGTAGCAGTCGGCCAGGTACCAGGCGTAGAAGCCCATCGGCAGGCCCAGCAGCTTCATCGTACCGTGGGCGACCAGGGGCAGGCCCGCGATCTCCACGAGCCCCTGCGCGTCGTCGGCGTACCCCGTCAGCAGCGCGTTCGGGTGCTTGGTCAGGTGGTGCGTGCGGTGGAATCTCCAGAGGGCGGGGACCTCATGCGCGAGGCGATGGCTCCAGTAGTACCAGAAGTCGACCACGATGCCATACACCGTGACCTGAGGGAGGAGCCACGCCCAATCCGTCGATGTCGGCGGGTCGTCCATGGTGTAGGTCAGGCAGATTTTCATGAGCGGTCGGAGGAGCGCGGCCAGCAGCATCGAGGTGATCGCCTTCCGCGGACCGAAGTCGCGCACGCGATCTCGCGCGTGTCCGTCGCCGTCAAAGAATCCGTATTCCTGGCCCAAGGTCCTTGTCAGGCGAAACTCACGCGCGAGGAATATTGCGAACACGGAGAAGTAGAAGACGAACGCTGCTATCGGGCTGAGGTTGTTGCCGGTCGTAGATGCGTAGAGTTGGTGGATGAGCAGAGGTACGCCGGCGTGCACGAGGATCCAGCGATGCAGCTGGATGTCCGCGACGTAAGGAACTTTGTCGTCTTTGGAGTGAATAGGCACGTTTCGATCGAGATTGGTTAGATATCGGTTGACCCTTTCTAGGATCCATTGGGACATATTCGAAGCAGACTGCTCCCAGTTGCGTCAGATACAGGCTGTCGGACTTGGAATGGGATATTGAATATAGAGGTTGAGGCTCTCTTGTCGTCGGACGTAGGGTAGTGAGAAGTGTAGGAAGGTCAGGTACCTAGATAGAACACTCTAGATGTTCGAAGTCCGTCGGTGTTGAAACCCGGTCGGATTTAGTAGTACTGTACATATAGAGAAGGAAGCAGTGGTACTGGTGCAAGGCAATTTACCGCCGGAGTTACACAAGAATTTGGAAACGAACCTGTTCGTGACTGAGTGAGAATTGCTTAATAGTTTAGAGAGTATGGACTTAGTGGGGGGGGGGGGGTTCATCCGGGAGTGAGAATCAGAGGAGGAGAGAGCTTAGGGCTCCAGGGTGCAATCCATACCCAAATGGAAAACCCCACTGCCTTCCAGGTGCCGAAGGCACTTCTCAGATACCTGTAGGTACTGTAGCCACCTGGTAATACAGTATCTTATATCACCTCCAAAGTTAATTATTTTATGTTTTATAACTTACTGACACCCTACAGCTCTAGACCCACTCCCCTAAGCCTAATGCAATATGAGCTAGGCCATCCACCTAAACCCATTCTTCACGTGTACAGTATAATCAACTTTGTTACCCTCCGTGGCTACACATTTCACAATTCTCCGCGCTCCACTGGTGAAAGCAATCAGTAGATCTGTTATTATATACACTATAGTATATCTGAAACATATAAAAGAAATATTGCTTAAATTACAGCATGCAAATATTCTTTTATAAGATACTATTTAAACGTGGCTGCATATTAACATTAGGGAACTGTGAGATTGGTGGCCACGGAGGATACTGTGCTTTCAAGACCAACCAAGATCCTAAGGCGTTACATTTGTACCGGTATGTAAGAAGATTGAATTAATACAGCCTGTACAAGGTGCTTTCGGCAACCTTTGATTTAGTTAACACCAGCAGAACTTCTAGATCTAGCCACAACAGATAGATAATAATGACACTGGTATACCACCTGTATTGGTGATAAGAATACCTTCCGCCTCTGAAATATCGAAATCTCGTCATTTATGAGGGAGTTCTGATTGTATGCTAAACGAGGATATCTAGGGATTTAGTTATAGATAGGGAAACCCTCAGTGCTTCGCCTAGAATTGGACTCACTTATCTGAAGAGAGTTGGCGGCTACCTCTTTGATAGACAGTTGCCGCTACGGTGTGTATTCAGCAAAGGAGAAGCTCTATTTACGCCGGCATGCCACCGCCCGCAACACCACTTGCCTGCCCGGCCCTGGAGTGGCGTATGCACCCTTCTGGTTTATATACAAAAGTTGTTCAATCAGCACACGAGACACACTGAAGAGCGCTGCATTGTTACTTTTTGGATACATTGCCTTGCCTAAAAGGGCTGGAGGAATCAGGGTTACGGTTGTGAGGAATATTGTCGTCATAATGAAAATCACCGGTGGGAGGTGGTTTTTTTACATCAACACCAATGTGACTTTTCTAACACCCGATCGAATGCAAGGGGGTGGCATTCTTGCGTAACATTAAAGCATCATCAACTGCACAATTATGTATCAAGTAATATGAAAGCAAGCTTTGCTCAAAATAACCCATCATCTCCTTATTTCCTTGGTAGAGCTTGATTTACATCTCGTTCAAATGTTCGTACTTAGGCACTATAAGACATGTCGGGGGACAGATAGCTTATAATGGCGTATTTATTGCTTGCTCTTTTGAAAAATAACAATAATTTATTTCTAAACATCAGGTCATCAAACAAAACTCATTGCCAAAGAATCCTAATTAGTGCGCCACCGTCTAGTTCTACTAGCCCTTAGGTCTTCCCATGTCTACTCTTTTTAGCAGCATGAATCTTCTCATGGGAGCGCCCAGATTCATCACTCCTCTCCACTTGCTGTTAATATTTGGAGGGACTTTTCTTGCATATATTCTTTGCACCCTCGTCCATCGATTGGCCCTGAGCCCTTTGGCCAGGTTTCCCGGACCTAAGCTTGCTGCTGCAACACGCTGGTATGAGTTCTATTTCGACGTCGTCAAAGAAGGACAATTCATGCTCGAGATTGAACGCATGCATGAAAGATATGGGCCGGTGGTTCGGATAAGTCCCTTCGAGCTCCACATCAAAGACCCCGACTTTTACAACACCCTCTATTCTGGCCCTCTGCACAAACGAGAGAAGTATAGTTGGTTTGTCTCTGCACAAGCCCCAGGGACCACCTTTGCTGCAAGTGGACATGGTCACCACCGTGCGCGTCGGGGCATCCTGGCCTCGTTCTTCTCCAAGCAGTCGATCCGCGCTTTTGAACCCGACATCATACGGCGCATAGATTCAGTATGCTGGCACCTGGAGAACGCGATGAAGCAGGGGAAAGCTGTTGAGTTGCATACTCTATTCATAAATTTTGCTGTGGATACCGTGTCTCTCTTTGCCTTTGGCCCTCGCTATTGTTTCAACACCCTGGATTATCCCGTGCTGACGGATATGTGGAAGAAGGGGGTGAACTCGATCTTTGAAACGCTCATCCTACTGCGGCATCTTCCATTCCTTTACACTGTTTCGAGGTACTTTCCTGCGTGGATTTGCTGCCTGATCCAGGCTCAATACAGAAATATCAAACCAGTTGAAGAGGTGAGCTTTACATGAAACGCAGCGTGATGACATCACATGAAGTAATAAATCGCAAACAGGCAATCGAAGAGCGAATGACAGAGCTCTTCAACTCCCGCAAAGCTCAAGTCTGGGACAAATCCATTTTTGCCAGCATCCTCCAGGATGACGGCAAGCATCCCAGCACAGAGACGACGCTACCACGTTTAATCGACGAAGCCAAATTCCTTCTGGTCGCGGGAACAGACGCTCCATCCCAGGTCATGGCGATAACCTTGTTCCACGTGCTCCGGAATCCCAGAGTCCACGCGAGGTTGAAGGATGAACTCACGCAAGCCCTTCCAAGGGCCGCGATGACCCCTTCGTGGCAGGAGATGGAGAAGCTACCGTATCTTGTCAGTGGCCGTATCAATCCTATTT